TTCAGGAGCAGTCCCCAAATACACAAGAACACCAACAATTCACACGGCATAGACAGAAACGGACACCCAACTGAGTTCCTGAGAGCTAAAAGTATGTGTTTACTACAATACTCATTCAATTCTATCTTCTTCCCTTTTACCTACCAAATCTGTGCTCTGATGATTCTAATGCTTCTCATGTCTCCTAACACTTCTAATACCTTTTGTTTGTTAGAGTTTTTATTTCAATTTCCATAACATATACCTAACTTTACCCAGCCAAAACTGTAAGAAAAACTATCATTTTACATCTTTTACATTTGAATTTTAAATACTAGAGTAGGAAAGAAGAAGAATGGAAATTACTAAGTGATGGTTCTGCTCTGCAGTGTTACTCTTACCACTCTCCAGGTATCATCATTATTTTGAACACTAGCAATAGATTTCGCATTACCCAACAATATGAAGACAAAAACTCCATTCCCCTTGAAGTCCCAGGCTAACAGCTGAAGCCACCAGCAGGACACTTGGCAGTGAACACTGATTGTAAATGAAGAAATCTCAGTTTAGCTTATTGTTATCCCAGTGGCTTCAAAAAGTGTAAGGTGATGAGCCATTCCCTATGAACCAAGCAGAGCCCATGAGCTAGCATTACGTACCTAGTTAAAGAAATTCTGCCGCTGCCAATTTCTTACGTTAAGCCCACCAAAAAAAAGATGCAAATATCATGTTATAATGTTGAATTAAATGGTTACTTACCATAATACTATATAAACAGATCGTAGAACTATAATAGAAACTAGCGTTCCATACATGACCTGGGGAAAAAGAAAAAAAAAAAGAGATAAAATTCAGCAGTTGGATTCAAGAGACCTTATAAAACACTACAGGAGTAAAAAAATTTTGAAGCCTCTATTGTTTTTTTGATTTCTTAGTCTCAAGAAAACAGCATTCCTTCTAACTTCCTCTCAAGAAAACCTTCCATTAAAGTTTCAAATAAAAGTATGATTCTAAACCACGGCCTTTATGCAATAACAGGAAAAGTTAGTTGTGTAAAACCAGTTTCACTGTTTTGAATCAGAAAGCAAACACTAGATGGCACTCGTAAACCATCCTGAAATCAAAAATGGTAACTAAGTCCTATCATCTCTTCTTTGTCTCTGCATTTTAGCTCAGGATCCTGTAAGCATCAGCTAAAATCACTTTTGAAAGCTGTACTTCTTTCACTGATATCTAATAATATTTTTTCCCGAAAGCAAACACCTGAATAGACTTTGCAGTATGCCCACACTGAACATCAATATGGAAGCAACTTTCCAGGAAGCATTTCAAACAACTATTACAGATTGTTGGGATTCAATCCAATTATATAGTGGCAAGGCTGTATGCTCTGAAGATCCATGAGGAAAATCTGGCTCACTGCAGGCTTGATGAACCTGAATGCAATTGCCTGACATATATAAAAAGTCAAAGTAATCATTTATTTTCTGCCTCGTGATCTTTAAATCACTGGTTTTTATTCACAAACTTAGGATCCATGTAACACCATCTCCAAGATGTAAAGACTAAAGGAAAGGAAAAATGTGGTCAGTCATGCCTAAGAATTGATGCAGAAGCCAGTGCAGCAGGCAAGATTTTTAGACACTAATGACATTCAATTACTCTCTATACTTTTTATTCTGAACACTGGTTTCCTCCTGCCAAAAGGCAGTTTGTTCCAAGCAGCTGTGCCTTGCTCTTTGCCTCTCTCCAGTGGCCCACAAGCCCCTCGCTATTTTTTTTCTTACTTGTTCACTGACTTAACCTTTCCCATTTTGCTCCTAGTTAACTCCTATCTAATGCTGCACGAAAGACAAAAATGACAAAGCTTTGCTGTCTATTTTGAAAAGCCACTAAACCTCACAGAAATGTGTCTACAAACCAGTGTCCTTACCATGTTCTACTGACCTCCTGACACCCTTTCTTCTTTTAGACTATGTTGCCTTCGAGACAAGGACTGGCTCTTACTCTGCTGTAACTGGGGCAGTCAGATACTACTATCCTGTAAGCACATGCACGCGTCTAGTCATCTGACATAAATAGGTAGCTGTAATACTGCAAAGTGAAACCTGCCTTTCAGAAGTCTATAAAGGCAAATTTGCCAGCTCCTTTTAGCTTTAAGGATGAGGTTAGTAGTACACACCATATGTGCATATCTAACGAACAAGACAGACAACAGAGCCCTTAAGTTTGACAACAGGTAAAAGTAAGCTCCAACATTGACTATTCAAAGTTATTCAGCACAGCAGCTCTTCATATGCATTCAGAGTGAGACTGAAGAACTTCGGTAAATAAATTACTATTACTGTGTGTTCTGCTCTGTAGGCTAATTGGTTCTGGCTCGTACTTTATACAAAACTGTTAATTCCAGTCCCCTTGTTGGGGTATGGCACATAAATCAAGAAATAAAGAAAACCCACAAAACCTGCTAGACACAGCCCAAGTATCAAGTGCCTATCAGTCCCAAGATAAAGGTAGAAAGGAGAGTGCTCAGGTGACCCAGGTGCTGCATGCTGGTACAATTCTTCATTGATGACATTTGGCCTAAAAAGACCCCACCATATAACAAATACAGACTAAATGTAAAACTTTAACAACATTTACTTTACCAGCCTCATGTAAAACAGACTGTTTCTTTTTTTTCTAATCAAATCCAGTAATTTATCCTAAGAGAGGGATGGCACATAGGAAGATGGTAGTCATAGAAAGGCTCCTCTAGAATCCAGATTACAGTTTGATGCCCTTTCTTTGCTGATCTCCTCCTTCTTAAAATTTTCATTGCTAAAATGCTCCTCTGCAGCAGAGATATGGGAAAAATCTATCCATGAAGAGAAATTTCTGTCATACACATTAGGGGTGTGACCCCCCCCCTTATGCTTGTACCCAAATTGCTCTTGGATTCATTGTACAAGGAGTTAAACAGTGTCAGACTATGCCCAGAGAAACAGATCTTACAAGCAGCCCAAAGTCCAGGTAAAATGCTATTTTTTTAGCAGCTGCTAAAAGTGGGAAAGAGCAAAAGCTAAGAAAAGCTTTCTCTGTAGAGCTTCCGGCTTGATATTTCCTATGAACTGCTTAATGGCTTGCAGAAGAGGACAGTCTTAATGGAGGGAGGAAGGAAAAAAAATAAAAAGAGCCTTGCAGTGACTGACGAAAAATATGTCCACAGCTGACAGTTCAATTTCTTGTCTTTTCTGCTCCCCCACCCAACCAGGTTGTTAGCAGTAAAACACATTTGTGTTTAAAAGCCTGTGAAAGACTGGAACAACAAACTGTTCTGCTCTGCATGCTCCAATCCTTCATGTTGAAGGTGAGCACTGAGAGGGTGTTGCTGTGATATGCAGAGAGTGTAGCTGCACGTTTTGCTACAGCTCTTTCTTACTAGAGAGCTATACACCAAGCTGCATAATTCAGTTCGTACTCCAGGGAGCAATGCTTACTTTGTCTCCTTTACCAACTATGGATTTAATATTTTCATCGTGGTAAAAATTTGTTAGGTATAATCCATCCACCCAAAGAATGATAAAGTACAATATTAAAAAAAATAAAAATCTACCTTATTCAAGTTAACTCAAATTTTTCCATTCCATTAGTTCCCTTTGTTCTTCTTCTTGAACTAACACATCACTTAAGTGACAGATGAAAACCCAAGCAAATTTTCTGCTCTTTTATCTCACAGTGTCTTTAAACTGTAAGCCAAAGAACATCCTTGCACTGCAATTGAAACAAAAGGAAACAGCAGAATCTCATCACCTTTTGTTATCACTAGACAGTTCCGTCTTTGCTGTTTCAGATGCAAATAAATCTGCACATATTTCAGCTTTGAAGCCCGTATCTTTGCAGTTGGGGAAAAACCCAAAGTCTGGATTTTCCGGAAAAGAAGGCCAAATATGAAGAACATCCTTCCAATGTGCAAATGGGAAGTAGGCACTTCAGGGCTCTATGTCTGGCAGCACCTTTGATGTGGAGGCAGTTAAGCAAATCATATAGATTCACTTATGGAAGTCAGAAGCAAAGTTGGTACTCCACACTGAGAGGGGGGAGCATACAAAACTGGTTCTTCATCTACCCTTCTAGTACAGAAAGCAGAAATAGCCTGCTATTTCCACTTCTCTGTTTCCTCTGCTCCTGGCCTTCTGCCCATCCTTGGTTAATAAATTCGATTTATCAGCCTCAAATACTAGTATACCCATTGGGAACAGCACTGAGAGATTCTAGGTTCTTGGCAACCACTATATATATAATATATATATATAATGGCCCATCTTCGCGAACGAAGATTTGGGGAAAGGTCTTTTTACCTTTCCAGCCTGCGCAATGGATTTTTTAGGTGAGACACAGCCTGCGCTGAACTGAGCCCACCCTTTAATCCTAAGGTTCATCTGCCGGGGCCAAGCAAGCTTGGACAATGGCAGTGAGGTCCTCAGGACGTAGGTTTGTTTAGAGTGTCCTTCTCATAGATGGATGGCCACACAGGGCTAACGACCTCCATCAGGCCAGGAGACCGGGGACTAGAACCCGTGGTCACAGCAGTGAAAGTCCTGCACGCTAACCACTAGGCCACCAGGGGTCTCTTGGCAGCCACTACTTATCTATTAATACACCAACCAGCTATCAAAAAAAAATAGTTGGCCTAAGTACTTGAACTCGGAAACTGTATTTGCAATTTGCAACAAAGAAAACTGACTTCTACATGTTCTTGAATTTCTGGAAAAGAAATTTGAGCAGAGAGAAAAAGAAGGAACATCCCCCCAAGATGATGCTGAAACATCGAGTAACTCAGCACAGTTACATGCTGCCTTGACAGGCCCTGAATGAACTAATTCAGATTCACTTGGTTGGGCCCTGTTCAGATGCATGATCATCATCATGGCCAGGCTTCGCGAACAAAGATTTGGGAAGGGCTCTAGCTACATTTGCTACAAGCACGCTGGTGGCTAAAAAGGACAATACGAGATAGACAAGACCGGTTGCAAAAGGCACAGCAGAAGGACTCCTTAGGTGGTATATTCTGCAAGACACGATTCTTTCTGCGTTGTCTTTTCTCCTCGAGAGTGATCCTGTGTGCGTTCTCGAAGGAAACAGCAGCATTATAGATGGTGTGTCTCCAGACCTCCCGATTGGAGGCCAGAGTAGACCAGTTATGTTGATCAACATGGCCAAGGCTGAGATGTTGTTTCAGGGAGTCCTTGTATCTTCTCTTCAGGGCTCCTCTCTTGCGGCAGCCGGTGGCAAGTTCACCATAAAGCAAGATCTTAGGGAGGCGGTGGTCCTTCATCCTGGAGACGTGTCCTGCCCAACAGAGCTGTGTTCTCAGCAACATGGCCTCGATACTTGTAACTGCTGCTTGTTCTAGAACAGACATATTAGTCACATAATCTGACCAGTGGATGTTTAGGATTGTATGGAGACAGGGTTGATGGAAGCATTCTAAGAGTCGCAGGTCGTGGCGGTAGATGACCCATGATTCGGATCCATATAAAAGAGTCTCTCTCTCTCTTCTACTCTACTACTCAGATACATGAACATGATGGCAAAATGACACAGAAGTCACAAGACACTGCTGTAGAGCTTCTGGGACACTGCCTGTCACAGCAAACCAAGCTTCCCCTTCAATGACTTGCAGAACTGAACCTTCGGAGAGTTAGAATATCCTTCCTCATTCCCTAAGCTACTGCACAGGTAAAAGCACTAGCCAGAATGAAAGATGTACTCGCTTTCTGGAAGACATCCGCAAATGGTCTGTGTAACAGTGAAATATCACTCAAGTCAGTTTTATATGTGGTCTTCAACAGGACAACAACAAAACAGAAAAAGCTCTGTGGTGAAGACATGCCTGAAAAGGTCATTTTTACCAGATGCTTCACAACCTGAACATACAGAAAGTAAGAACACATTCCCTTAAAAGGCACAATATATTTAGCCACAAGCCTACAACTAACTGTTGCCTTAGCAGCCAGAAGGACTCTGGAGAGCTGGAAGACATTGAGTGGGTGCACACAGATTCCCCAGAATGGGGAGTCCTGTAAGTCTGAACAAGTTGTGTCCTGACATAACATATTCTTCACGCAGTTTCAATCTCCCCTATGTACTTCTACAGACATATTTAATTGTGATTTCACTTTCTTCTTTGTACTTGTATATTTAAAACACCCGTAGAGAAAAATGTTACTAATTTTTTTATCAAGGCAAATGAAGTACCTTTTCCTGCTTTAGTCTCTCTCTCTTACTCAGTCACCTTAATTGGTAAATCTAATACTTGTATTTTACTTCTATCAAAAGTAAAAAAATTCACTGTTCATGTTATTGTGCTGTGATCAGTAAATATCCAGGCATTCCCTCTCCTCCTCTGGTAATCTGTTGAGCAGGTTAGAAGTAGTATGGTTGGTATTTGTCCAACAGCACGTCTCTTCAATTTTGAACCAGTTGTCATCCTTGTCCTCAAGTCTCCCAGTTATCTCTTCATCTCCTCTCCTGTACTCAGTGATGCCTCTGAACTTTGTATCATCACAAATACTACTCTTTTTCCTGCTATGGGTTGTTAAAAAAACCTGCCAAAACAGTCCCACTACTTATCCTAAGAAAATCCAGGCTTTTCATCATCTCCTTTAATTATTTTTCATTAGTCACTCCCTTACCCTATTCACAATTCTCATAATAAGCTACTTCTCCAGCTTGCTTAGTTTCTCATGGGACACCACAACTACATTCTGAAATGTCTATTTTTTCATCACATTTCCTAATGTAGAAGAAACAGCTATTTAATTTGATTTTCCATTTACCTTTTAATTATTTGTTTGCAAAAATTTGCTTCAAACTCTTGCAGCAGACGACTATGCAAATAAAATAGGTTTTTAGATCTATTTTATTATTCATGTAACTTGGCTCACTAGCTGAATGAGGTTTTTCACTGCTACAAGTGCAAACGCATAGTCAGCATATGGTATGCAGCAAGCAAACAAATTAGGATGGAAGACAACGTTTCGTAGGTGACAGCTTCCTAGACCTCATCATATTAGAAAGAAGGCTACTTACTGTAAGACTTGACTTGAAAAGTTTAACTGTCAGGGTAATTTTGTCTGCTTCCAGGGCTATCTTATATTTGTGTGTCTATGGATCACTCTATACTAGCAGCTGGTCTTCCCCAACCGCTCTTCTTGTATAAGCACTAATCTACATGTGGTAAACAGGGATAAACAACTAATCTGATTTAAAACTAATTCTGAGGAGAATTAGTTGTTGATTTGAACCTGAACCTCCAGTCAAATTGCCATCAGAGAGTAAATTTGTGTGCCAGATGGAAAAGAGGGGAGTGGCACAGCTGTTTTCTGTGACAATGATGCTGGCTTAAAAACAATTAGGCAACTGCGATGTAGGGTTGTTTAGCACCTTGAAATAGGCAATAATAGTGCTCTAGCCTGAGCAATTTGAACATAAACAAGACAATATATGCTGGTAACGGCACCAGTATCTTTCATTTAATTGATGAGGTGGCAAAGAAAGCTAGTTCAGTTGTCAGGCAGGAAAATGTTTACTTCCTTCTAATGATGTGCTGCCTCCAACTGCCCAAAACATGCATCTCATCACTCCCATAGTTAAAGCACTAAGACCCTTAAAGATCTCCAATATGTGGATGGAGAAAAAGAAGTTGGTCTATGTTGCCATGTGCCATGGATAACAAACTGAAATCACCATTGTGCCTTGTTGGCAGTCAGCAACTTATGAGCCTAAGTTGGGAAGACAAGTAGAAAGTAACTTGCGGAAAACTGAGGCTTGGATCCTGGTTGCTAAATATAATACGATCCTTTTCCATTCTTACTGCTTTTCTTTCAGGGAAAAAAATACCCAAACTGAAACAATGAACAATATTAGGTTGTCCACGCAGTTATTCCCCTTTTTGCAAGCCTGACAAATTATGATAATCACAGACAAACACTCAGAGGAATCAAATGTTGCTTTAGCTCCTGATGCTGCTTTCTAACACAGTTAGGGACCAAGACCGTGATTTAAACTATGATTGCATGAGCATATTTAACCGTACTTCAAGTCCATGTGACCCATTCAGTTGGAAAATGCTTACTGAAATGATTTTACTTTTTTTTAATGCACTCTAAAGTAATGGACAAGTATTAAGAAAATAACCTTGCTTTGCTGTGCAGTCAGAGAAACATTTCCTCAGGATTGGCAAAAACTGTGAAAAAATGAGTACAGTACTTGAACATTTGGAATTCGGTCATAACTGTATGTTCTCCATAAAAATCAATTTGCAAAGAATTGTTGTAAAATGTCCAGCACTTTTATTGGCCCAAATATTTTCTACATGGATTCCTTGTGGATAAATTATAACAAAGAATTCATACTTTGAACCCAAGAAAAATCAGATGCAAAAAAATTAAGGGTCTGGGGCAACAGTTTAAAGTTTCCATATTTCCTTCTTTCCCAACAAGTCACAATATCTATTGTCTTAGTATTTGTGACATGGGACAATATCCATGCCAAATGCATCAAACTGGAATATAGTGAGGTTGTGACATATTTATTGCAATAAATATAGGTTGGGCAAATAAATGATTAAAGAGATAAAAGTTCGTAATAAATAAATAAGTAAATAGTAAACAAAATTAGTTTAAGTTGCTTCATTCAAAGCCAGTTATGACCAGCTCAGTAAAAACACCAGAAATTGCTACTTTCATCCCAGTCAGTATCTTCCTGCTGGAAACATAAGTAGGGGGAAAAATGGAAAGGATTTAATTAACATTACAAAAAAAACCCACCCTGCAAGTTTCTCTTTTATCTACAGGTAGAGCAACAATTCATGTTTCTAGGAGAGATTATCTGGAGCAGCTGAGAATGTATTCTGTTGATCAGCACCTCACTAATCCAGCAACAGGAGCCACGTATCATTTTTACAACTGCTGATGCAGCAGGCACATTTTGACAAGCAAAGGCACTACCAATTTTAGAAATTAAGGCTTTAAAGCTCTGTCCTGCAAAGAGCTCTGTGCTTTTTGCTTGGCAATTTTTCAGCTGTTATCCCTAATCAAAAAATCATAAATGAGGGAAAACTACCCGTGGCATACAGAAATGAGCATCTTTTCTAACCTCCTGTGAAGAGGAAAGCGATCCAGTCCAATCCCCACAGGCAGGGGATGCACATTAATACTCCTGAGCTGCTACAAAAGGAGCCTGTACCAAACATGCCATTAAGCCTGTACAAAGTAGTCTGCTAAATAACCCTAGAAGCCATTCTGTATTTAAATTCACCTTGAATTTACACTAAGTAAAGTCGAGTAGTTAAAAAACCCAATCAACTAATATGTTAAAGCAGAGAGAAGAACACAGTTCTAAGTCACACAGGCCATGTTATGACACACGGTCTTAGTTTCAAAGCAGCTATTAATGGAAAAAAGCAGAAAAGGATTTCTTAAGCTCTCCCTCTCATGTGTACCTTAGGGTTTCTTAAGCTCTCCCTCTCACACACACCTTATTATGTTTGCTTCTGATGAAAACCAAGAGAAATATTAGGTCAAATGCTAAAACAGAACATGCATTAAACCATTCAATTTTTTCAGCTCATTAAGTGAGAGGATGGTAACATGACAGACAGCAACATATTCAAAGAAAAAGCAAAAGGCAAACTGTTTTTCCCTTTCATCTTCCTTCCAGCTATAAAATACTGTAAAACATTCCACTAAAACATCATAGTTAAAAAACAAGATTAGCTGCTCCAACAAAGCAAGATTTACCTGATGGAATACAGGCTCTTTCAAATTTAAGTAAACCTGGAAAGATTAAAAAAAGAGAAATAATTTGCAACACAGAACGATTGTAACATTATTTATCTAAATATTGCCAAGACTTGTTCTGTTAGAATCAAGCCATAAGTGTCTATCCACGCACCATTAAAGTTGATTAAACATTTGAAGTTTCCTCTGGCAACACCTGAGGTTTCAACTGTGGAATTATTTAAAGTTAAGAAGCACAAATAGAAACATTAACACCTAACATTAGGCTTCTCATTGAATAGAGTTGCAGCATATACAAAACCAATTAAGATGCTGAAATTACCAGACACGTTCTCAACATGCATTGCAAGAAGAAAAAGTACTCTATTTTGATTTGCTATTACTAATGTTTTAGACAGTAATTTAACATTTCAATTCATTTTACAAAAAGCTAGTTCTTTCTTTTGTTAATTAAGGTAATTTAATTTATGCTCTTGAATAGAGAAGGGCACTAGACCTTAGGCATAACATGCCACAGGTGTAAAAAATTGTAGGAGAAACAGAAGAAAACAGGCCAGAATTTTGACAGCTGAAAATGACTTACAATAATACTTATTTTCTTTAAGAAATGGCTATCAACAAAAACACAAAGGAAATTTCATCTGCGGTTGACAGTCAGCACAAAACTAAGTTTATTAATAAAGGGAGAACACTGCGCTGTTTTGAGCTGTGACACAAAAAAAATCAGAAGAATTTTAACTAACAGCTAAATTCTCTTCTTATTCTGGTTGTTTTAAAACACCAGTCAATATCCTGGACTGGGTATCACAGTTCACTTTTTGAAGCCTGTCAAACAGGATGATTCTAATTTCTATAGATGAATTCCGGTGAGAAAAGGTGAGGAATGCAGCTTGTCCAAGGCCTCATAACAAATCAACAGTGACTATTTTTCTCACATTCCTATTCTAGCAACTGGATTATTGCTTTTCCCTGTCATTTATTCTATACAGTGGTTTAGATAGAAAGGTGGCCAGCACATCATTTTCCCAACAAAAGAATAATTTGTCTTTCTTGACTGGAAGTGACAGAGATTCAGTATTGCATCTATAATGCTCCTTTGCTGGCAGGAAAATTGTCAACCTACAGGTGAAAATGCCATATTAGAAAAAGTTACTTACTATGCTTACTACAAAGCTGTATGTTATTAAAAAGAAAAGCAGCGGATAATTGACTGTGTTCTTGTACTTGAAACATTCGTATCTGGAAGAGAACATAAAGGAGAGTAATAACATTCATCACTTACCATATAAAGGATGCATTTTTCAAGGTATGTTATCACAAAACTTGGGAGCAAATTGATCCCAATGGGTCTTAGACCCTTCAAGATATTGTAACTCTTCCAATAAAGATGTATTATTTTAATAGAAAAATTCATACTTCTACCAATAAATGTTTTTTTAAAAAACATTTATAGTGCAAAAAAACCCCAATAAGCATATACAAAAAAAATTAACGTTCTCTAAGAAAAGAGTTTGTAAAACAGAAGTGTTTTCAGAAGGTGCTTAAAGGGTGATAATGGATGTCAAATTAGAAGTTAGTTTGAAATGCCATACAGCTGTCAAAAAACATTACATCTGTGAGCTAAAGGCAGTGGAAAAAGGACTGCCTTGCAAAACAGTGAACTCCAGAGATATGTTAAAATGCACATTGTTTATGCCTTCACTACAGTCACAGTACAGTAAATTTGCTAGACTGGGTACTGGTAGAAGTGGAAGGTAACTAGCTAACTGCTCCCAGTATGTAAAACAATCAATTAAATCAGCTTCGCAATATCTGCACTGTGCCTCTGTCTCCGTTGTGATGGAAATACACACACATTGCAGACCACACCTCCATCAGAAATAAAGGTCCAAAATATCCAAACAAAGATGAACTTTGAGAAGCCCATCATCATTAGGGCTGGAGGAAGTTGTCTATAGAACTCCAAGTCACATCTGTCTAGTTTATTTGTTTATAAACTTTGAGAAACACACACACTCATGAATGAACAAAAGGAAACAAATTGAAAACATATCTGGGGAAAAAAATCTAAAGGCAGCACAACGTGCTACATTACAAAATGGCTTGCTGAAGTAATTACACAGCTTAAGAGTCAGCAGGACTGAATGACGTATAAGGAAATGTCCTGTGCAGAACCACCTGCAATCTGCCTTCAAGAAAACCAAAACAATTATTAAAGGCCTCCTAAACTACACATTAGCTCATTCTTTTGAACATTTTAATTGCTACCAAGCTTATATATACAGAATCTTATTAGAACTATAAATGCAGTGACAGGCTTCAGTGCTTTTGAAGATAATATAGTAACCACAGCATACACAAAAAAAATATTTTTTCAGACAGATTTTTATAGCCACTTCTCATGCTTTTTCCCAATCACATTCAAATCAGGCAAAATAAATGCAAAGGCAGTTTCAAGTAGACAGGGAGCTACAATGGAAATATTTCTGCTAAGAGAGGCATTAGGATTCTGGTCCTGAGTTTGTACAAATCATACTAATGTATGAATCACAAATTGAGGGTTATTTCCACAGACAGAGGTTTAGTCCTTGAGCACCCCGGCTCCATTGCAAACTGCTGGTAATCTTTACCAAAGACATTACAATTTTTGACAGCTGAATATTTGATATTTTCAAAAGCAAAAAGACTTTTTTCCTCTCTTTTTGTCTGCAACAAGTTGATTTATCATTTAGATTTTCCAAGTGACAGAATAAATCATGCTAAATCTAGGCCATGCAGCAACAGGCAAGTAAAAGCCAACTTAAGGTATCTTCACAGTTGTCAAATGTTACGTTGCTCCCAAACATAAATGGTTGAAAACATCCTGGCATTGCATTAAGCTGTCACACATGTTCCAAAACACTCTCCATAAAATATGCATTTAACTCTTCATAAAATCTTTTCTTTAATTTTCCAGATGAGTGGAAAGCGGGTTAGCCAGAAACCTGAAGTGTTTTGAGCCAGACTACGTCATAGAAATCCAGCTCCAATAAATTATAATGTTGCTAATTTTGTAGGCCTTACTGAAGTTGATTTTATTATGTCTGCTGTTTTTATACCAAGTAGCTCTGATTGTATACTACACTAAATCTTTAATAAAAGTGGGGGTTTTTCCTGCTAAAAAACACTGGTAAAATATATCTAAATTAGCAAAAACTAGGACTAATGGCAGCCTACTGCTCCAATGTCATAGTGCTGTGCAAAACCAGACCTCACTGAAAGCAGTAGAAGCTTCATCTCACTATACACTAAATTTGGCTTCAGAGACCGCACATTTCAAAAGTTAACATTTCATAAATATTCAGGGAAAAAGAAATTAGCAAATACTTACAGGCAGTAGACAAACACACAACAACTGTATATCATTGGCAGTTCATCCAACAGCTATAAAAAGCAAAGACATTAAAATATGAAAACTACTTTTAAATCACAAGCTTGTGTAAGTTAATTAAGGAGAGGCAAGTCTTCAGTAAACATGAGTTTTTAAGTCACTTGGATATCCACCTTCTTGACTGTACTTTAAGATGTAGCAGTGTCAAACTCTATTCAACTACCAAAAGCTGCTGTGCTAACCAGTTATTACTCTGAATCTTTTGAATATCACTTTTCATAAAAGCCCACACCTTCAAAGAATCTTGCTATATGCTGTTCATACCTTTTAAGAAATTTGTAAGAATTAGTTTTGAAAAGTCAGATTGAATAAGACCACCCCATCTATAGCCTTACAGTCAGTAGCATCTTCTTCACAGAGAAACTGAAAAGAATTTTTTTCATAGCATAAAATACAACTTTAGCCCATTAGGATGGGCAATGTGTTTGCATGTTTACTTCCTAATTTTAGAAATTTCTTACATTGTTTTAATTCAGAGACAGAAATTTTTGTTTGTTTGATGTGGGGTTCTCGTTCTTTTTGTTGTAGGGTTCTTGTGGTGCATTTTGTTGTGTTTCCTTCCCCCTCCCAGATTATGACTGCATATAATGTTTTATTGCCTTAATTTTTATACTTTGGGAAAAGGCATGTTACAGCTAAACCAGTTATTTTTCTGAGAACTTGCCACCTTAATAGAATGGAATTAAAATAGTAATTACAAGATAGTTGATTTCTCAAGAATCGGTACACTCAAAATTGTAATTTATCATTAGAAGGAAAAAAAATCATAGTACCATTTTCTTCTAAAACTTTTCTCATCAAAGAACTTTAATGAATTTTTGCTTGTAAATCTATAGCTAAACTTACCTCCTCTTATGAAGGACTGAAAATCACGAAATGAAAAAGCACACAAATGGATCAATGAAGATCCACAGCCTCTGATTTCTAATATGTTAAGCAAACGTTAATAGTTAGGCCTTTTAGAACTTGATTCATTCCTAACAAAAACAAGAACTAGACGCAAAAAAGATTTCTTTCTCCATCATCACTCTGAAAATTCTTGATGGTTATGCCTGTACAGAAATTGCTTTCCTACTACTGGTACAGGGTCCCTGACAAGCTCAAAACCATGTTTTTCTGAATAATGAGACACATTAAGAGCAATAGCAGCTTACGCAAACCCTTTTATAAAGCCAGTCTGATTCTGCTTGGTTTGGGATAATTTTTCTAACTGCGCAGTCAAAAATGACATTTTAGTTTTGAAATTTCATATTGGGTTAAATCTAATTCTTTACAGAAGGAGAGAGATGTATTATCCTAAGTGTGAAGTACTAGCTTGCTGTGGTTTTGGTCATAGAAAGTTCAGGAAATGTTTCACAATGCTGCTAAACATTTCTGCTGACCAGGTGCTACTGAAAGGGCAAGTCTTGCTTCTTCACCCACACTCCCACTGCTTCTCTCCAGTGAGCCAGGTCCAACATCTGAGCCAGCACACAACTAACCTTGCAGAAGAAGGTTTAAATCCCTGTACCCGTGCATTATAGGGTCAGGGACCACAACAGGTAGCACAAAGACAATATCAGGAACACTGACAGCAGCTGAAGCTAACAGGTGTGTTAGACAGCACTTTGCCATCACATTAGTCTATCTTTGCTGTGATGCCTTGGAGGGGAAAAAATAGAAGAAATAGCTGAATTCAGCTTTATAGTAATAGTATTTTATAAAATTGGTGATGTGCTTTTTCAAGCCTGGCAGGAATTAGCTGCACGATTAACTCACGTGGTTGTTAAAGACTGTGAGTCATTTAACACCTCATAAAAGATAGAAGTGGGGGAAGAACAAGAAATACAACATGGAAAATTTTTCAAATTTGGATGGCTGATTACACTTTTAAGTTCATATGCTGGCAACATCTCAGAGAAATTACAGTAAGAACAAAGAGCTTCTCAAAAGATCTTTGTTAGAATTTGCATGCAGAAGACAATGGCTTCTGTATCCAAAGGAATTAATGCTTCTAGAATGTCAAAGGCATGTCTGGACAATGAAGAACCATGGAAAGAAGGAAACTCGGTGAGTTGATTTCACTGGTTAAATATGCATTTCAGATTCTTGAGGAATGCACAATCATGCAGCTCCCATAAAAACAAGAGAAAAAGGGGTGATTGCTTTAGAACTATTCTGAACAATTGCTTTCAAGAACAGAGGCTTTCACATTTATCTTACTTAAGCAAACTGAATCAACCATGTACTGTATTAAGACTGCAAAACAAATGTTAAAAAAAAATCTCTTTAAACACCTACCAATGCTGATTTTTAATCACAACAAGAGATAAAGTGAATGAGAAAAGGTTATTTATTGGTTGAACTGTTTCCTCTGTGGTGATCCATGAGCTAGCAACTGGATCCACTTGTGGATTTCACTTGGCTGCCAAAAAAAGTGTACTTTCTCTGCCTCACACAAAGCCTGTTACATTAGTTGGAAAGATGATGCAAGACATTGCTGCTTCCCTCTCATCTGCTTCTGCCCACGCTTTACTTACCACAGTTCATAGGCCCTTTAGTTGATCTGATGCAACACCAGAACTACATGGCAAGTAGCAGTAAAATGACTTGGGTTAAAATAGCCTCTACACATACACAAAAATAAAACAAAATAAAATAAATCACACCAAAAAACTCCATGTAAGAATGTTTTAAGTCTGTATCATTTTAATGATCTGAGTTTCATGGTGCCCTTGCTCACCTCTGCATCAGTGTAAGAAAGAGAATTTGAAATACTGGCCATGTTAGGAATACACAGCTCAGGGAAGACATATGAAAAAGGTTGAAATTCAAGGCAATTTCACCACAGAAGTGAATATAGGTAAATCATACCTTAATTTGGGAGGAAATGGTGAAATGGCTCTACAAACTGCCTTTTTCATGCAAGAAAAGCACCAAATATTCTTACATGGTGGCAACTATATGCTCTGTGGAAGCTGGCAGTCTCCAGCACATGCCAGAGAAATCAAACAGAGCATTATGGAGACAAACTTCAAACAACTGGCAATTTGTAGGTCCCACTGTGACCAGTAGAAATCCAGGACTCAATTTGGCTGCTGCAATATAGTTGCCTAACGCCATCTGAGATGCTCTGTCACATCCAATACACCCACCCAAGACTAGCAGATGTGACAGGGGAGTCTAAGAAACCTGCACCTCTGTGGGATGGCAGCTGGATGCCTGACAGCACACTCACAGGGTTTTAAATAACACTAAACACCTATATTCAGACAAATGAATCTTTTTTGAGTGAAGGCTGCCAATGGAGTCTGGAGAACGATTCAGCCCAGCTGACTGCCTCCCTAAATTCCACTGACTTAACTGTATTGCCACTGACTATGGTGAGAGCACAGACTTCCAGCACAGACTTTTAAATGTAGATTTCTTTATTTTGAACTGAATCCCACTTCATCTTGCCTTTGATTCAAAGATGAATTTCCTTAATCTTCGAAGACCTAAAAGAGGACAACAGGACAAGACTTCCTGTGTCCCTTTAAAAAACAGAAAATACCAGGACTAAATCCCTATGTGCTGTGATTTGTTCTAGAATGCCTTCTGCTTGAAAATAAGAGAGAAGACAACTCAACTACTGTTACTCAAAAGATACTGACTTCACTATTAATGCTACGGGTACCTCTAGATAAATAGAAATCATAATAGAAAACAAAGATGTAAAAGATAAAATAAATAACAATAACTCCTGTCTATACTGCTTGTTATTAAGCCAAAACTATAGTAAATTTAAAACAACAACTTGTATAAAAAGATAGCATTATTTCCCAAAGGATAAAGTGTCCTCCACCATCATAAGCAATTGATTACAGCTCTTATTGTAGATGCAAGTATATATTCCTGTGTGTCTATCAGTGGAAAATACCTAATGAAACAAGACCTGAATTACTCTCTTGTTGAGAGCAGGAGTCACATACAATGATACTTAAGGCAGATTAATTAATTTTATATGAGTTTCGTCTAGTCACGAAATGGCAACATGACTGTATAGTGAGATACACACATAAAATAATTCACAGCTACTTATCAGTACTCACCTGCATTTCATACTTCAGGGTCATGTGGAAGCACCAAGATCCCAATCCCACAGCTGAAAACAAATCAAAACTATGGTGAACATAAGAGTCTAAATGTAAAATTTTCAAGTAAATTAACTTAAATGCATGTATTTTACAGTGAAAAAAAATTAGAACATCAGCATATTCCACTGCAGGGACAAATCTCTAATTTTCTACAGCCTTCTACTTTATACATTAGTCACCAGTGATGTCCCTGAATTTCTGGGTTTTTGGGGGCGAGTGTCCTCTTTCCCTCCTCTCAATACTGTCTCCTATGAACTGGTGTAATCTCAAAGAGGATAGGAACAGAGGGAATCCAGAATGAATGGAGTATTATAATTCAATATATCTTTTTTTTCCCTTTTAATTTTAAGTACATTAAGTTATCTGTTTCAATCCTTCTATAATGAAATGCATCATTTATCAATATCTCTGCTTATTCTCCAGTTTTAAAATCTACATTTTACAAAGAGCTTTTTATTGTCTCTATAAGCAGAAATGAATTGCTACTAGAACTCAGAATTCGAACTTCAAGGTAAACAAACTAATCCCACTCAGTATGTATTCCTTTTGTGAAATGAGATCGCCATTTCCTGGCCTTCTACAGAGAAAGACAAGCTTCCAAGAAATTATTTGTATTTATCTGAAGTACTCTCTTTTCAAACTCTGAATTTACTTCTGAAATTACTTTATGAGATATATACTTTGCCCATGCAGCTTTTTCACTTAGACATGGATAAAGTTTCTTGGATTTCATTGTTTAGAGCAAAGCTGGTACAGTATTTAATGCATCATTCATTACTTTGAAATGTTATCAGTAAAACACTCTCATCAAGCACCAGGTCATTTTTATTTTGCAAGAACAATAATGTGATGTCCTGTCTTCCTGAAGAGAAGAAATTATGTTCTTTTACCTCAGACTAGTTTCAGGGATAGCCAAGTAATTTGCACTCAAGCCTTGATCACCGTTTTGCTGCCATGTTTTGCTGCAAGAGCATCACCTTGTCTACACATGACAGTCAGGTTTCACTGATGCATAAACAAGACCTGTATTTCTGTGCCTTCTGTAAAGGATTCCCAAGACAGTCGACAGACATGTCTGGAGATGCTTCTTTAGATGTTATTAGACTAGAATTGTGATTATTACATGTATTCAATAAAATTAAATACCTAAGCATGTAACTTTACTGAAACCTGAAACTGCAATACAACTACATTTAAAAATGTATTGCCAAAACTTTAATGTCATTAATTCTCTGGGAAAACTGAGTACAGCTCTCTACCACACTATAAACAACCATATGTAGTTCTGTAAGCTCTGATTACATTGTTTTGCTTCTGAAAAATCTTTCCAAACAATAAGCAACAGCTGCTTTCACCTTCATTGAAATTCTAATGAGAAATTCTCATAGCCATTTTTCTATGTATACAGAATATATGACAACTACTATTCATTCTGGAGAAAAAAAACATTAAGATCATAATTAAAACAATATCATCCATTATCCTGGCTGTCACAGGATACAAACTCTTACAATTTGTAACAAATTTAGGCAAAATGATTGCACAAGAAATTTCAACTGATTTTAAATTAACAAAACATGTTGTTGTGTTGTGGGGTTTTCTGTTTGTTTTTCTTAATGTTATTTGGGTTAATAAATCTCAACAGTCAGCTATTGAACTCCTCTTCTTCCTCCTACAGGATTAGAAGCACTTACTTTTATCTTAATTTTTCCTTTCTAGTCTTTCAAAAAATCAAGAATGCAGCAGATATTACTGTTTCAGCTCATGAAATCCTTGACTACAATTAATTTCTAAAATTAATTAAACCCTTCTTGTTACTGTGCAATGATCACATTTAGAGTTTCTCTGATTATGAAATTTTACTATGCATTGCAGAATGATATTTTAGCTATATTATGTAGCCATAAAGCAGATATTTGAAACAAGAAAAGTTTACAGGGACTTGATCATATGGTCCTTCCTAAAATAAAAACCTCTAATGGAAACGGATGCAATAGTGCTTGCTGCAATCATAACAGAGCTCATGAGCATGGTCAAGTCTGTCTGGTATACATGCATTCAGCAGATAACCCAGAATGTTACGTGACTAAAAATTATATGACCTTTTTGTCACACTTTACGCCTAACTTATAAACTCAGACTTATTTGTCTCCAGTATGCTGTGGTTTAATATTTAGGCTAAAATGCTTTCACATGTGGCTTCTACCTGAATTCTACAGGAATGCAGCCATCTTGAGATATACTTCTCATCATTTAACTTCAGGCCCAAGGTATTTCTAAGAAATATCTACTTCACAAAAGCCATCATTGTAATGAGACAATCTGCCAGCTTTGTAGTTTTCAAAACAGGAGTGATCACAACTACTGCAATTACACCAGTTTTTAAGAGAAGCAACTTTCCTGTACAGCCATGGACACACTGAGCAATAATTTGCTACTTATCTTGTGAGCAGGAGTTGCAGTTTTTATTTCAGGTGTTTCCTTTTGCAAAGGAGCTTAAGTCACTAAAGCTGCCTATCAGTAGGGAAGTTTTTACGTCATCTGAAGCAGTACCATTTCCTCCTTAACTATGGTAGCTTACTTTTCACAGATACTGCAAGTCACTTGACATTTTTACATCAAGGAACCTCTCAAGTTACATGGGTTATATAAAATTATGTCTTAAGCATAGAATAGACATTAAGTTACAACATTACGAGATCAGAATAGCACTTTAAAAGGCTGGACATGCAAAGTCAGGTTAGCTGCTATATGTACACTAACACAGTCTTTTTCTGTCCTGCAGCAAACACAACGTGCAGTTACTGCCAGTTGATAAAATAGTTGTGTTAGTGATGACGTAAAAGCAATGCATCTGCAAACTTTACTTCATACACAGTTATTTCACTGTCAAAAACCTTGAGGGCAGTAACTATACTGGAAATAATCTAACATTATACAGAAGATCCAGCTCTATATACGAACCATATAAGCTTTCAGGATTTGAACCCTAGAGGGATTTTTTCCAAGTTTTAGGAAGCATCAGAAGTAACACGTAATCAGTGAAAATTCAGTTTGATATAACTACCTATCAGCATTCAAAATTCTCATCGTAACCCTAAATCCTTTACAGAAATAGCAGTTTATTAGGATTTCAAAAAGGCTTTGAATTTAAACTCAATTGAAATTTAAATTTAGGGTTTCAGAAAGGGTTTAAATTTACACTTTGTACAGGTGCTGTATGAAAATATCCTGAATGAAGGATGCTCCAGACGCAAACACCTTTATTTAGGTATCTACACATGAACTAGGTGTCACAGCTTCCACTAAGAAAATGGCATTATTGAGAGTAATTCAACTGGCCAAACAGGTATTTTAGAATGAGTCAAATGATCCTCGTGGCTTTACTGTCTGCAATGGCAGACAGAACCTTCTGCACAGGCAGACACGTATGTTTAGGTGTTTAAATTTGGCGGTGAACTCCATCTTTTTTTTTTTTTTTACAGTGATAGAACTGAATTAAAGATAAACAACAACATACTGCATTATAAACAGTCAAAGAACGAAACAATGAAAAAGTGAATTCAATTAAACTATTTTTAATTAATTATTTTGTTTTGCAAAGGTTTCCCTCCACAGCATAAGAGACAGGAGAGACCTTGGATACTCCAAGGTTACAGCTCTACAAGTAATAAAGACACTATAATACAACTGTCTGCACTAGTGAGTTGTTAGAACAGTCTGCACTGTGAATCTGGGCTACTCCAACTAGCACTTTCCCCAGGCAGCTTTCAGGCACTGCCCAGGAGCCAGAAGAGTCCCTGTGCTCAGCAGGGAATTTGTATGCAGTCCCCTTGTTTTGGAGGCTAAGATGAACAGACATGGGCTGTTCCATGCTACTTGGCTTCAGCACTCAGGAACGTTCCCAGCCACATATGATGTACTAACACCGACACAGCCCTAGGAGCTTCTCTATGGGTGTTAGGTAAGAATAGGGGAATTAACTTTGACTGAAGAGCTTCAAAGAAGTATTTTCACAGATACAGAGTTTCAGTGGAAATAAAGTTTAGTAAGTTGCTTACAAGTTCCTATGGCTATGCCTAATGCAGAAAACTTTTTCTATCCTTTTTATTTCCTCCACTTTGGCACGGCTTGAATGACTGGGCCCTATTAAACAGGATAAAGAAATACAAACCAGAACAACCCTTCCAATTTTCAAGTAAAGTATCTAATAAAGTACATTACTCCATTTTTCGTATCTTCTTATGTCCAGAACAGTTACACTCTCTTTTTTCTTAATACATATATATAGGGTTTTTTAAATTGAGACTCTTCTAGAATATGAATCATTTCAGAATCAGTTTCCCAGGATGAATGAGGAGAGGACATATGGTACAACCTGATACAATATCCCAGTGTCATAAGGAACCACTCAAAACAAACTGCTTATTCATTGAGGTAGTGACAGTCTGATGATTTGTTCCACGTAATTCAGGAGGTGCAACATGCTAACGTAATTGCTTAAGATTATTCTTCATAATTTATAGATTGATTAAATGGTTCTCTAAAACTTAAAACCCACATCCAGTTCCTACTGAGTTAATTGACAACATGCCTTTTGTACTGAAAGGCAGCAGAAAAAAGGTCTGAGAACAGTTGCTGAAAAGTGCAACTCAGTCTGGGCATCAGTATGAACAAGAAATTTATTTGAACAATTATTTAGGAATACCCCTTATCGTCATGCCAAGATCTTAGCATGTATGTGAAATAAACAGTGCTTCCATAATTCAAAATGCATTTGGTTCTAAAAGGAAATAAACGTCAACCAAAGAAATTGCGTGTATAAAAGTGAAGCACTGAACACGGTGTGGTAAAACACAAAGGAACTGACAATCAGCTAAATGTCTGGAAGCACCTAAAAAGAGCAGCTGATTTGGATCAAAATAATGTCTAGAATCAACACTTCTTACATTCTCAAATGCTAACAGATTTAATTTTAATGTCCTCTTTGACAGTTGTCTTTTCATGTCTTGTAAAATCTCAGTAACTATTCCAAGTTTTTAAAATCTAACTGAAGTGCCCTCCCTTCCACCTCCATCTTCACAGAAGAATTGTTAAATCATTTCTACTTTGACAAAACAACCCTCAGACACTACTAGCTAGGTAGAAGCACTGCTATATGATCTTTAATGAAGCATGGTGCCTGAAGGAAATCAGAAGTTTGCATTAAATTCGCTATCCCTTCACAGAGTAAGTCTCTACTTTTTTGTTCCAAATTAAATAAGTAGAATGAAATCGGTTAACAAATAAAATTCCTGTGAGGAAAAGAACTCACTGGTACTTTCTTACGAAAAGGAATTTCTGTACACTTACTATCTCCAGTATGCAGCTCATTCAGTCACATGCACAGAAAGAATGCCAGTGTTCCTGGCACATTTCAACTATATTTAAAATTCCGTTTATGTTTTCATTTGCTGCTTTTATTCTTTAGTAGAGCAAATGTTAAGAGGATTGTCATTCCAAATCATCCTGTTCCTGTTTTTCACTGAGAAACTATAAAGTCTTCTACATTCCTTTACATCTTTCAACTGCTGGAAAACAATCCAGCGTTAGGAATACTGAAGCAGAGACAAAACAGAAGGGAAATGCTTTTGGGAGTGACCTTTAATGTTAGGTTCCAACATATGAGATAAAAATCAAGTTGTGCAAGCATTTATCACTTTAGACAGGAGTCAAAGCCATCCCAGTCACAGATGAGCAGGGCCCAGCTGGAACTCAGGACTGCCCTCCAGCACTGCTGTTGAATATGCAGACTGAGCTCTCCTTCATCAACATCACAAAGAGTACAAAGCTGAAGTCCATGGTATTTATTATGATCAAAGACAGATGACTTTTTTTTTTTTAAGCATTTTAAAAATTAAGTGGGATATGAGAAATGCCTAGCTAGTGTGACAGTCTGACATTCTGGTCAGAGAGTGGCACACTTTGTCCATTAAAATAACATATTAAAAGTAACATTTATCAATCCCTTACCACTGTGAAGACTGAGAAAAATCTCCACAGAATTGGGAGCTACAGCAAACACAGATACCTGTGAAACACAGAAATTCTGTGAAATCTAGTTTGAGACCCAACAGCCAAATGTGAACCACCTTCAAGCATCTTTTTTAATAAGGAGCATGACTTCTATTTGCATGATTAACATTTCAAATGAAGTTGGTTCTTTTCTGGATTTTGTTATTACAGAGAAAACAGACTGCCCTAAAGTAGATCTAAATATGAACATCACATTGTTCTTCCATCCTTACAAAACTTCCCAGTTACTATGGCATTTAGATTGTTGGGTGATATATGCCAAAGAGGAATTGAAAACAAATTCCAACTCATGAAAGAACACCCTTCCAGTTCCCTCAAGATCTTAGTCATTTCTTGTATTACTGTTCCATACAAATGTAACAAAAATATTAATATAATGTGAAAGCGTCTTTTAAGTAGAACACACAAGACACCTATAAATCATCATAAAAGTACAGAGACGCACCAAGCAGAACCTAAAGCCAGAAACGGATCAATCTCATTTAGTTATTTACTGAATTCTAACTTTGTGTCCTTCCAACAAATACCAATTTTCTGTACACATTAACAACTATAACAAATTGAGGTTTACTTTTCACACACACAGTATTTAGATTTAACTACTCGGTTTATTAATATTTAGATATATTGTTCATTGCACATCTGAGCTCTCTTTATAATGACAGAGCAAATTAAGTTTTACACATACCTGTAAGACACAAATATGCAGCTAAATACCGTTTTTCAAGGCCATCTTTATAGGTCTGAATCGCACCATAGATTGGAGGTAGAATGAAAATCAGGTTACTCACTGTGTTCCCTGTAGGATAGAAACCAAGAGCAGAGATTTAGAATTGGGTACTATGCACTTTTAACTAAATATAACTACACTTAACTAAATAAAACTGCATTCACTCATTAAAGACAGATTCCAACAGTTTTCATCCAGAAAGCTACACCTTTTTGAAAGTTGTCTTCTGCTTTTGCACATAATACAAAGTTAAATTTTTATAACACACAGTTAACTACATGAAGGCAAAGAACATTTTAACTCTTTTGTCTTTTTTTACATGTGTGGATAGTAATAAAATACTAATTTAACTAACAGTTTTATTTAGATGGTGCTTACTTTCTTGACAGAAGGGAGAAAGATAGGATTACCTTAACGACACAGATTATGAATCAAAACCTGATTCCTTGAAGAGATATAAGCCCCAAATAGTTCAAGCCTGGTATTTTAAGACTGTTTTTTCTTTTCTAAAGCCGATTCTTGAAACTCATCAAGTGACCCATTCCCAAATGAAACCAGTCCAATTTTTACTCTTAGTGTGCTAGTCACTTTGGGCACGCAGAACAAGCCAGATGGGATGTTACATCACAGATCATCATCTAAGACAGTACAATAAGGAATAATAAAATGTCAGAAGCCACTGCTGATCAGCATGATGGGCAAGTGTCAAAGCTTATTGAGAGCCTGAACTTCAGCAACGCACCACTGCTCTCCATCCCTCCTGTTGATTCTAGGATGCTATAAGGTCTCCAGGAAGACCTTATACCAGTCTTCCAATATCTAAGTGGGACCTACAAGAAGGCTGTAGAGGGACTTTTCACAATGGCCTGTAGTGATAGGATGAGGGAATGGCCTTAAGCAGAAGGAGGGCAAGTTTAGATTAGATACTGGGAAGAAATTATTTACCGTGAGGCTGGTGAGGCACTGGCACAGGTTGCCCAGAAAAGTTGTGGATGCCCCATCCCTGTAAGTGTTCAAGGCCAGGTTGGATGGGGCTTTGAGCAACCTGGTCTTGTGGAAGGTGTCCCTGCCTATAACAGGGGAGTTTGGAATGAGATGATCTTTATGGTCCCTTCCAACCCAAATCATTCTGTTATTCTGTGATACATGCTATGCAACACAAAGCGATGACACATTGCAGAGACCAGAGAAAGCAAGAACAAGCATAGAGCTCAGCTCTTGTACCAGGGGGCAATCTGATTCAAATGCGTTTTTTTCAAACTGTGCTGGCCTATGGAAAAGTACAATGAAATACTGCAACTTTAAGTGAAGCATAAAGAAATGTTACATCTCTCAGCAGAAGGGATGCAGAATCAGCTTTTTAGCTTAACCACAAATCATAATTTTGAGAATAAAGGTTATGTTATGGGAATTAAATGCTATGTAATTTGGGAAAATGAGCAAATCTGTTAAAAAATGCAGAATGTTGCTTATATAAAACTGCACACTTTTACACATCATCAGTTAAATATATATAAAACTGAAACTCTAATTTCCTTATATCCCAATGAAAAATACAATGTATGAGGCTATGGAGACACCAAAAACACTCCCTATATTTTGGTCTTTTTTATTCAGCAGAAAATATCAGAAGCATTTCACATTCTAAAACAGAGAACAAGAGTGAGTGGGTCCTGTCTGAATCACACCCCTAATTCAAGCACTTGTTTTTCAAGAGTCCTACTTGCCAAGATTCTTCCCAAAGAAAAGCAAAAACTACCAAACTATGTTCATATAACCTAAAGTATTACAGCCCCCCTGGAAAAAAAAAATTCATACTTTAGTTTTAAAGAAAATTCAGACCCAAATGGAAAAAAGGTTTATTTCAGAACACATGGAGCAGAAGTATCTAACTACCTTTAACAAGGTAGCTCCTCTAAATTCTCACCAAGTCGATACAAATCTCATTTTGAGACAGTCTTCTCAACCAAATAAAAATCTCATCTGATTTTAATCAGATCTTCTTTAAATCACTTCCTTAATGATTTAACACCATCTCCTGCACAACCATGAATTTCACCAATTTATACCAGGCTAAACAGAGATGTGCCAGAGATCTTACTCTTCTAGTCAGTTCTGTGGTAAGTTCTTCCACACAAAAAAAAAGCCCAAATGAAATCAAAACAGCTTCTGCAAAGACATACAAGTTTATACCAATATAAAAGGCCTTTTTCATGTTTAAATTCTTTGGGGAATCACTAACCTTTTACCACACTCCCTTAGTGTCGCAATGGGTAGTGATTCACCTTCAGTGGAGACTAGGTTTAGAAGAAATTCACTAAAACTCTGCTGTGAGGCACGCTGACCATTCCCATGTTCTCCCATAAATCATGCAAAGATGTCACTCAGCCTTGAAAAGTAGTATGGATTAGTGAATCTTCTTCTTTTTAAAGCAGTCCTCAACTATGCCCATTTTCAAGAGAAGTTATTAGATGTTATATAAATGTCACTGTTTAAGGTCGCTTAGTTATGAAACTGTCATAAACCTGTCAAAAATTCAAATATGAAAATGCCAAACAAAAGAAATATCATGATGTTCATCCGCAACTGGGAAGGCACGTGACTGCAGAAGAGAGTTGCAGTAGGATAACGAACCGCAGATGGATGTAAGAATGAAGAAAACAGAATCTTCTGTAGGAAAGGGAAGGTTTCAACACTTCCTGTAAAGCTATAATTATGTTAAATTATCAAAAATTTACGAGCATTTAATCTAGGACCATCTTGCTGAGAAAGGAAATACCGTAGACCTAATCTAGCTGCAAATTCCTGCCACTCCTTCTCTGCACTATTTGGCCCACATTATTCAGAACACTTGCAGCATGGATTAGGCAAGCCTGTCTGCAAATATACTTATCGAAAGTTGCACAATTTTTTTTAATAGGTGAAGTAGGGGCAGGGGAACAATACAGTCTTCTGGCATGGTGCTAGCAAAATTATTTCTTTCAAGAACAAAAACTGCAAGGTCTCTTGCAAACCCAAGGTCCCTAGAACTGTATATTTCATAAGAGCCTAGCTAGTCTTTACAAGATTATCCTCACACAGAATAGCTTATAAATTCATTAAAAGGGACATGCACAGATATTAGCAAAAAATACAAGAAAGAAGAAAAAGGTGATGCAAGTACAGACCCACAACTATAAAGTTAATTAACAAACAAGGGAGTGAAACAAGCTTTGAAGGGAATAGATAAGGAAGTTAAAAATGGGAAAATAGTCCAAACTGTCAAAAAAAAAAAATCTTTTTCACTAAATTTCCTTTCTAAAAAAAGGGGGAAAAATAATGCAGCAGACCTCCATGGGAAAACCAGAGATTGGAGAAATTGCAACTAAGGCAAGAAGTAGAAGATATGCAAAATAATTGAAGAAGAGATTATTGGTTATGCCTATAGGAAATACAATATATCAAAAATTTGATGAATGTGCATGGATGGACCTGGGCTTAACTCTGTACAGTGCTGTTATATTTCAGTACTGGATTCCTTGAATACTGACCCAGAGAGTGACCTGATTTTTCTTTAGTGACCAAAGACTGCTTCTCAGCATTTTACCTTCAGCTTTTCTGTCAACAGAAAGGAAGACCATATTATCTGAGGAAGAAATGAATGAACTTGCAGACTGAAATGACAGGAATAGGATTAAATATGATGGCCAAGAACACACCTTTCAATGTGAATATGAATCCTTATTCCAAATGTAGAATTAATCTATTTGAAGAGGCAGAAAAGTGAATTTAGATTGCATGGTAAGTGACCATAAGCCATCATTGTAGGCATGAAACTCCCTAAATTTATTTCCAGTAGAGGAAGGGAAAATAGTGATGTCTTCATGCAAGTCAGTAGTAGAATACACTGTTCTCTAGCTATCGATAAAAGAAGAGAGAAAGTACATCATGTACAGAGAAGCACCACTCATATGGGAGGGATAAATGGGAGCCTACAATTTCAGAAGGAACAAAAATTGCTCAGCTCAGCTCCTGAACAAAACGGCTGGACTGATTAAAACTGCACGCTGTAAATACATCATGGGTCAGTGCCAAAGACAAGAGGGAGCTATTTGAATGAGAGGATAACACTGACAAAGACTAAATAGATATAAAGTAACCCTAAATAGATGTGGGCTAGAATAAAGAGGAAAACTTCCCACTAAAGCGGAAATATTTACAACTGGTTCCCAACAGAAATGGGCAGCATGATGAACCTGCTTTCAGGGTGAAGCTCATTAAGCTCCACAATCAGATTGCATGATGTGGTGGCCTATCACAGTACTAAAACAGACCATGTCCACAAAGATTATACGTAGTACTAGGTACAGGGCTAAATCAATGTCTAATCATGATAAATGCAGACTGTGTGACTGACTGCACAAATTTTTATAGAAGTCTTTGAGACTGTTTTAATGCAAACCATTGTTTCAAAGTACTGTTTTATTCATTGAGCAAATGCCATATGGTACCAGAACAAAATCAAATTTATGCAAAACATCATTTCAACAAGCCTCTGTCTGTAGGAAGGAGAACAGTATAAGAGTTAAACCACATCTGCACCCTGTTCTACAAATACAGCAGCAAAACCTGACAAGTCTTTTTTATGATGGATGTACATTCAGAGTCATCTTCAGGCCCTAGAAACTGTATGGAGATATATATATATATATCATAAATGCACAAAGATCTGTACAAAGACTGACCTCAAATACGAAGTATATTACTTAAAAGGGGAAATAGTAACTACAGGCAAACACAGGCACAATATACAGCTTACTGTCATACAGGCATTATACAGACAGTTGGGAAGTACACAAATTTGAAGTACCTTACTTTCCATTTTTAAATTCCACACTATAAAGTAACTTCTAAAATAAATTTGGATGAGGAGTCAAAAGGAAAAACAACATGTAAGTTGTAAATAAGTTGAAACAGAACATGGTCATAAAGAAATAATAAACAGGATGTAAAAACATCAGGAACAATATTGGGAGTTAGAATACAGATACTGGTTTCGGTGAGGGAGGAAAAGTGCTATTATAAAAAAG